TTACTACATAAACAGGGATAAAATTTAAGCAGCAAGTTTGGATCTGGGGGTGCTGGGACAAGGTTATGAAGAACATTGCGTTTTCGTATACTTACACAAGCCGAAGGGGAATATAAAGTTTCTCAGGAAAAGAGGAGGATACATAAAACACTGTAGCATGTACAAACTAATATCTACCTCCACGGCAACGGACGATCAGGTAGCCATTAGCAACCAATTTAAAGAGTAATTGCGCTCTTCCTTCAACTGCCATATGAACCGACATCGTGGAGTTCTAGTCATGTCGGCGGATGGCTAGGCTATGCTCATGTAGCGTCGTACTGAGCTTTCATCCTATCTGGCCCACATAGTATTTGTTGCAATTTTTGCAGTGGATTTGTAAATCACACCACTTGGTTCTTCTTTGGCAAGCCGGTCCTTACAATTGAAGAGCTTGTCACGGGTGGTTTCCGTCGACTTGTGAGCAACTCTAAATTCCGCTCCAAGCTGGCAAAGCAAACGATGGCAACACTACTAGACCAACGCGGATCCTCAGACACGAACAATAAAATAGATGCCATCCACATGATGGAGTTGTTGGATTTATGCCTCACAACACACTTCAGTTTCAAAGGCCAAACCTACGAGCAAATAACAGGCACGCCAAGGAGTTCACCGTTATCTGGACTAGTGGCCGAATCGGTGATGCAATCATTGGAGGAAACCGCACTCCCGGTCGCAAAACCTAAACTCTGGCTACGATACGCGGACGATACTTTTGTTATCCTAAAGCGCTCGAAACTGGAAGAAACACATCAGTTAATAAACAACACGTTTACTGGTATCCGTTTCACTAAAGAAGAGGAGAACAATGGTCAGCTACCATTCTTGGATGTGTTAGTAAAATGACATGCTGCTGGACAACTGGAGACAACAGTTTATCGGAAATCGACGCATAAAGGCAAAACCCTGAATTATCGCAGCAATCATTTAACGGTCTACAAGCGCAGCTGCGTAACAACTCTAGTTAAAAGAGCACAAACACATTGCAGCACCCCGCAGCTGAGGAAAGCGGAGGAAGTTCATCTATTCTGAATGTTTACACGGGATGGGTATCCTAGGAATTGCATTCTACGTTGTTTGAAATCAATGAAGCGCTGGACGCATGGACAAACATCAGAAACGTATAAAACGACAATAATTCTACCATGCATAAATGGTGTCTCTGAGATGGTGGCAAGACTGCTACTACCTTTCGGAAGCAGAGTTGCTCACAAGTCGAGGGAAACCACCCGAGACAAGCTCTTCAATTGTAAGAACCGGCTTGGCAAAGAAGAACCAAGTGGTGTGATTTACAAATCCACTGCAAAAATTGCAACAAATACTATGTGGGCCAGATAGGATGAAAGCTCAGTACGACGCTACATGAGCATAGCCTAGCCATCCGCCGACATGACTAGAACTCCACGATGTCGGTACATATGGACGCCGAGAATCCTCAGTTTGCTTTGGAGAATCTCAGGATCATAGGCAGGGAAAACTCGAAAAGACGCGAGTTCTTTGGGGCTTGGTACTCGGGAAAGAACTCAATCAACCGACACTTAGATCTTGATACCGCCTAAGAAGCACCGAGGGTTAAAACAATAATCCGCCCCAGATCAAAGAGACATAGGAACATCATTGAGGCGGACTCTAGCTAATAGTATGTATGAGTTGACTACACGGTCAGCTCACGTAGACCAATAGGCTCCTGCCGCTCGAACCAAGTGATCAATAATCACTTGGATCTGCAAGTGGCTCGCATAAATCGCATTGATGATGTCATCTAGCCTGACGATGAAAAGTCTGCAACCCAATCAAATAGCTCGGAGAATACCCGCATACCCTCATCCGCATCCCGAGTTACAAATATTCGCACGGATTTCTGAATAGAACAGTGAATGTGTTAAGTGATTTGTAAGCAGAGAAGAACGCTTTATAGTCCCTTTGGAAAATCTGTCTCCTCGATGTTTTTGATTGGATAGTTGCATGATTTTTAGCACTTTGTGATATTTGTGTATCGGTACAATAAAGCGTGAGAAACCGTGCATTATCTAATGGAGAGTGTAGGACGGTTCCTAATCAAATCATGTTTGTGCGCACTTTTTCTTACGGATAAGGCATCATTTATTGTTGAAACAATTAGTTCCCGAGGAAACTTTTAGCAGAAAAGTTAACACAAGAGTGCCGCACGATTTAATTCCGGTTCAGTACGCAGATCATTTTACCGCAAGCCAACGTGGAAGGGACAGTACTTGAACTTCTACAGTTTTGTCCCCAAGAGGTACAAACAAGGTCTAGTGAAGACTTTGTTCAGCAGAGCTAGAAAAATATGCACTGCTGACACGCTGGAACAAGAGGTGCGGCTGATAACCAGCACCCTCGTAGACAATGGGTACCCTCCGTCTTTCATCGCTCAGTTTAGTGCTGAGAAAGAGAAAACGTGTGTGCCTACGGTACCAAAGATGAAGGTAACCCTGCAATTGCCATTCAAGGGCGACGACGTATGCCAGGTTTTTCAGCGCCGATTGAAATCCGCAGTGGCGCGCATATACCCTGCGGCGGAACCAGTACTCATCTACACAACGAATCGTATCCCTACTCCATCGGTTAAACCCCCGCTGTCACTGTCCAGCCGTTCACATATCCTTTACCAATTTACATGTATTTGCAAGGCCGAATACGTGGGCATGACAGAACGACACTTGAGGGTGAGGATCACGGAGCACATACCTGCGTGGGTGAGTAAACACGTTTCGCAGATGACCACGTCCACCACCTTGAATGCGCAGCCAAGGAAGCGAAATGAAGTTCCATACAAACAACCAGCTTCATCAATCGCCCGCCACCTGCTGGCTGACAATCACTGTGTAGACCCCGTGCGGGCGTTCCGTGTTATCTATACATCAATGAACCCCCTAACTTTGCGATATGCTGAGGCCGTGGCTATCAAACAACTTGGCCCAACTCTGTGTGTGCAGAAAGACGCATTTGTGACCCTGGCTTTGCCGTGGTAGCAGGCCGGGCACAGATGACAAAGTGACATGAATGTAGGTGTGTATAGTTTGGTCAATTTGGCATTTTAACTGCGTTCCTTTCATGATGCTATAAATTCACACGTCTGTAGTACGCACTTGAAAATATGCAGAGAAATTATTCCGGAATTAAATCGTGCGGCACTCTTGTGTTAATCATTTATTGTATTTTAGTAGGAGAGAGTATCCGAATTCAAAGCCCGGCATGGGTGATGCCATGCCGTACCTACACTGCATAATGTACACACATTGCTGGGACACGCAACAACGTACTGTGTAGACTTGCAATTTGCGGTACGTACACCACTACTCGTGTTCTGTTTATACAAAACAATATTTTATCTTGCCATTTACCTACAAATAACTGTTAAGCGTTTGCATTTGAATGCTGCCTATACCGGTTGTCGCTAAATATAGAATTTATTTGTTTGTGTAAATTTATTACTCCATTGAAGCGTTGTATCCGTTCAGTCGGGTGCTGTCCAAGCAACGGAGATGCAGTGTTGATGCTCACTCTAGCCCAGCCATTCTCAGTTTACAGAGTAGTCCGTAAGATGACCGGTGGGCACTGTTTCATACTAAGCTACGGAAGGATCTTAGAATTATCATAAATCTAGTTTATTTAGCGACCAACACATATACATACCTCGTTGTACCTGTCTGCACAAGGAAATAGGTGCGTAAAGCTGTGCAACGTTGTGTGTATTAAAGAATCTGAGTACTGTAGTAGCACCTCAGTACTTGGAGAGGCAAAGGATGAATGTCTACAAAGTAAACAACGAATACAGCTGAGACATAATCATTGACAAAAGTCGGGGCCGTCATGAACGGGTATTAAGTAACTGCTTGATTCAGTGTGCTTTACCCTAACGTCCGACCTGGCAAATTTTCGATTTGCTTTTACTATTTTGGACTGTGTAATTCTACTGGTACGCGCGAAATAAAAGAAATAAGTATACCACAGAATAATGGTTGATGACATTTAACGCCATTGATTAATTTTTAATTGCTTATACAATTTATTGTTTAATCTATAGGCATACGTATTCATTTTTTATCATTTAATACTGAGTTGCTCTCTTTAGTTATGCATGCTTCTTTTTGAACTACCATGCATGCAACCAAATTCCGTTGCTGATCGGGCATGACAAGCGAGCAGTAAGTATGAATGAGGGACAAATTGGAACCTCTCGTCTTCTCCAAATTTTTCATATGGACTAGTGCATGCGGATGCAGCATTTATCTTTCAGTCCGTGGCAGCTGAGAGTTTTAGATAGCGCAAATTTAAAGGGGATATTAAATCTTTTACCGGTTTATGTGGAACGATTTTTAACTAAATGTCAAGCAGTTATGTCACACGGATGGTGGAAGCGTTTGCTACAACACACCTTTCAACAGTCATTTGTTCCGTTGTTAACTAAAATGGCCACTGGTTGATAAACTTGAGAAATGTATCTTTTTGTACGAAGGCTAGAAAATGCAGAGGTCATGGGTACGGCAAATCTTGAACTTATCATTGTCGCACTTGGCCGCACATAGAGCTGCTACACTAACATAATGATTATTCCTATTTTGCTGATAACGACATACAAAAGTAGTGGTCCATGGTGGTAGATGAGGGAATTTAGAGGCGTTTTTATTTTGATTGCTTGCTCCTACGGGAGATGTAGTAGTTGGTTTGCACAGAAACACCCAATCCGTCAACGCCCTCGTACTTAACACCTACGCATCTTCTGCCATACTTCGTCATGTCATATGATGTCTAAGACCCAGTGACGGAGTTGCCATGTCTGCACATCAGGTTTGGTGCATACTCACTTAAATGGATCCGCTCACACACGGACATTGGTAACCGCTATAAATGCGCAGTAGTGTACCCCTAACGATACTGGTCGTAGGATCAGATTTCGTGCTCTTAAGAACTTGACAACTTGAGGTTTTGGTGCCATGATTCCGGCTCGGTTTGATTTTTATGCTTTGGTACTGGTTACATGTACCATATTACCTAACTATACTGTTGGTCAAGGTGAGTATTTTCGAACATAATTATATATTTGCAAGTTCTCGCTTTCTAGGTTTACTAGCGGCTTCATAGTTAGTTTATTATAAAAGTTAATTTGTTGTAGAATCAAAAGCGAATGATTATCATCTCTTTGCGTCGTTTAGAAATGCATCAGGCCAAACATCTGTTTTCTTCGAGTAAAGTGATTGCTAATAATAAACTTTAATTCATACGTTAAGGTTAAAATGCGCCTTTAACTATTATTTTAGCTGAAAGCGGAAAGTGCTCTTTAAAACATCAACGGGTCGTAGAATATGTTGCGCGTGGGCCGAAATGGCACCATGGAAAAGGCGCAAGTTTACTTGGATGCCGACTAACACACGGAGAAAATTTGTCCGCCTACTGACCAACCAAGTATAAGCAAGCAAGGAATGATTACACAGCGCTAGGGAGCATACTTGTGTTGCATCCCCTTGACAGTGAAGCCGCGAATGTTATCTGACAAACGCAAGTGTTGTCCATTCAGATTACTAAAAGATTTCATTTTGACAGATTGTTCGCTAGTTTGAATGTATTAGGGTAAGAATTAATAGCTTGCTCACTGAGCGAACCATCTCAGAGCAATTATGAAAAGATTCCAAGGAAAACAACAATAGTGATCATGGAAACTAAAGGCATTCTGAGGTACACGACAGGTCGGCGCAGAACCTTAATTCTTATGAAAAAACAACTGTCGAATGAATATATTATAACCCAGCTTACGCTTGTTAGGTTTGCTTTAATTTCACCTCGCATGTTACAATACCTGCTTCCATAATTTATGAAATCACCTCACTAATCTTTCAATTTCCCGTGTTTACCTCGGATATGTTAGAGCCAGACCCTTAGATTATCGGCTGAATTTCGCTTTCACAGATAACAGGACTAGTAGGATCATAAAGAATAATCATTGACGACACACATATGCCGATGTCTTCAAACAAACATCCATTACAACTACAAAGTAGATAAAGGTTTCTACGGAAGTTTTGTAAGGATTACTTTTCTAATTGACCCACAAACCGACTACGGCATATTAGTCAAAATTGTGCTGGAGAGACAACATGCGACGCATTATCATGGAAGCAGTGTCCATTGAATTTGTGATATCATATGGAGGGTAAATTCTTAACTTGTGTTATCTCAGTTAACGTTTGGCATTTGAAGTTTCCGTGAGTTTCAATTGGTACATATATTCTTTGGTTATTCCTCAAGTTTGCGTTTAAATTACGTTTACTACAAACTGGATGATGTTGCTTCTGTGGTTCTATTCGTTTCGTTTGGGATTCACCTATCCAATTACTGGTAGATATCGGCTCAGCAGAGTGAATACGAATAGTAATTGTTCTACTAGTGCAACCCCATTGGAAGGGTTTGTTTGGTGACTGTGACAATGCAAATTTTTGTCTAATGCATGCAACCAGACCGAATTTGAGTCGATGGCATACATATAAGTCACATCTCTTAATGAACTGCCAGTTGCCACTTGTTATTATGCAGCTGTTTACAGGTGTCTACTGGTCAAATATCGCCATTGCAATTACAGGTTTTATAAAACTGCTATAAGTTGATGGAGGAAAGGTGACGCTTATTCATTGCGGTGTTGTGTAGGAATGCGGAGTTTAGTGTATGGGCCTGATAAGTACATAAACTTCCAGACGGTATAATTGTTGCGGCTGTATTCACGTATTAGTAGCCGAAGCCTACCTGCACCTGAACCATATACAGCCGAGGCCATCCTATGTGTTGAGGCAGCCTGCTGAATTTTGCGGTCAACTCTGCAATCCTATGTAAGTCCAGATACATTAAACAATAGTAATGTCGTCCAACAGTTTTCGTTATAACATCCGTAAGTAAGGTAATAGAAATAGATGGAGTGGATTGTCAAAGCCCATGTTGCACGTAGTTTATCAGACAACAATGGTGCGTACGCGAATAACAATCTTTTGGTTGTAACATGAATACGGTAGTCTATGCGGGATGGCTTGAGTTGTGCCTGGAATCAACTACGTTAACACAGGTGTATAGCGTGTGATGGTAGCTCTTCCAACTTCAATCTGTTTCATTATCAGATAGGCCGCGAATATTTGCTATGAATCTTGTGGGATTACACCAGAATTACGGCGAATTTTTTGCAGTAAATTTGCAAGTGGCTTTTTGTACATACGCAAAATTTAATGACAATGTTTTCTACACTTCAGCTTTCTATTATCATCATAGTCGAGATCAGTGTACGTAGTACATGAAACTTCTGCTCGTCACTACGTTGTGAATTGCTCTACCCCGCTTATGAAGCAAGTTGTATTTTAAAGGTTGCAGTAAACAGACAAACCTAGGCTCCAACGTAATCATAATACAAAGCAAGTACTTCGCAGGAGTTGCATGTCAATTTATGTTTCACGGATAATAATCAAGATCGAGGCCAGCGTTTGGCTTGCCTGCCATCTTCCAAACACTAATCTTCAATTTGCTTTGGCCATCCTAAGCAGCAGCACTAGTTACTCAACCTCACAGAAAGGTTCGCGACTATCACCATACGATTTCAGATAAACGGAGATTACTATCTTGAAGCCAATGAGGAAGCAGATCAACAAAACTGCACATCGTTCTAAACCACCACCCAATTATCTGACAGCGCTTTGTCACACCTGATCAAATGCTTCACGCATGGCATATTATCGCACTCGTGCTAAGCCGTATCCTTTTAAACGCTGTGACGGAAGGCACAGTATAGGATGAAATGTGGCAAAACAATCGACCAGTTGCATCCGCTTTAGAATGTACGTTTTAAGTAAAGCTTTCGTCGGTGAATTCAGAAAGTTAGATCTCTCAAACAAGGAACAACAAGAGCAATGCTGGTGACAGATCCACTAGTAATACCGGTACTTCAGATTCACAGTTCAGGAGGTTATTCGTTTGGGACACAATGATAAAAACTAACCATTAAGAAAAGGTTTACATGTAGCATTAACTAGTATTTAAGCGCTACAAAGTCTCGGATATATTTCAAGCGTTCACATGAGTTAGGTGAAAAGAAAAAGCTGATTTTTGGACTGAGTGTTCCCTGAGCTCGGCACGTTGGCTGCAAACGTTTCGTCACCATTTGAGGTGACATAATCAGTGCGCGTCTACTTAGCAGAGTGGTATGTACGAAGTATCCGGGAGTCTGAGTGATTGATCGCCCAGTCGCTAGTCTGAGTTTGGATTGTTCGACAAGCACATGATCATCGAAATCGATCTCTGATTCTCACCTCGTAGTGTACGCGCGCGTGACTCTTCGGTTGTCGTCGTTTGATACACTAGTTTGGCGTTCCGTTCCGTTAGATTTATTCTACTAATTCGGTGATTTTTCATACGTAGCGTTGTATAAATAACATCTATTTCAACGTGTCGATTTAGTGAATTGTCCGAAGAATACCATGCTTCCAAGAATTCTCTAGCTTTTCTCGAATTTCCATGGGCTAAGACCTTAACCTTCTCTAGGTCGAAGTGATGGCGTTCTTGGTCTTCATGCATGGAAACCAGTGAATGTGGATCGTGTCTCCGTATGGCCATTCTGTGTTCGTTGATCCGTGTTGACAGTTTCCTTCCAGTTTGCCCGATGTAGTGTTTGTCACACTCTTTGCAGTTAATTTTGTAGATGACATCATTCTGACTGACTTGCTGCGCAACAAATGCACACCGGAAGCGCTCAGAAGGCTACAAAAGGAAGAAAATATTGTAATCCTATCAGCTGACGAGCGATGCATGGGAGTTTAATGGATAAAGCAGATTACATTGCAAAATCCAAACAACTCCTTTTCGACTCGACCACGTATCGCCCCATAGATCAGGATCTCATCACAAAACCGAGAACTCAAATCAACGCAGCATTGAAGAAAGTGCAAGCAACAAGTGAGATTACCAAGCAGGAGCGATGGAGGATGAATGCTGAGGATACAAATATTGCAATATTCTATGGACTGCCAAAGGTACACAAAGACGGAGTCCCATTGCGTCCAATCGTGTAGTTGCCAGGAACCCCATCGTACAATTGGCAAAATGCATGTGGTAGAAATTAAAACATCTAATTACCGGCTCTGAACAAAGCATCATCAATGCTGAACAATTCATCAATAAACTGAAGTGTATTACAATAGAGGAAGATGAAATCATGCTGTCGTTTGATATCACCGCACTCTTCACGTCGATCACTCGCGAACTTGCAAAGGAAACCATGATGGAATTACTTCGAAACCAACCGAACACAATAAGAAACCTCAAGCCAGAGAGCATATGGGAACTCTTGGAGCTCTGCATGACTACTTAGTTTTACTTTGATGGGAAAGTATACCAACAACTGAAAGGAACGCCCATGGGATCGCCCATCGCAGGACTCATTAGAGAAGCTGTGAAGCAAAAGCCGGAGAGTATCACAATACCGTCAGTCAAAGCAAAATTATGGATCAGGTACGCGGACGACACGTTTGTCATCATCAAACGAGTTTCCATACAGAATACCCATGAGTTACTCAACAATACGTTCCAAGATGTCAAGTTTACAATTGCACTCGGAAACGACAACCAGTTACCATCCTTAAATTTATTGATCCAAAGAAACACTGACGGAACATTTCAGACATGTGTATATCGAAAGAAGACCCGCAAAGACCAAATATTAAAGTACCACAGCAACCATCCACTGAACCGCAAGAAAAGCTGCATTCGAAGCCTTTTCAATAGGGCCGAGACACACTAAAGCACGACAGAATTGAGCAAAAAGGTAAAGAACCATGTATATCGGGTATTACAAAACAACGGGTATCCAAGAAACTTCATCAGAAGAAGCCCAACAAAGAGGGTGCAGCAACGACAGCAGGAAAACATAGATACACGCGTAGCGCTTCCATACATCAAGAATGCATCTGAAATAACGTCAAGATTGCTACGACCACATAGAATCTTGGTAGCCCACAAACCAACTGGCACTTTGTAAAGATTGCTTTCATACCGAAGGACAAAGTTAAACAAGTCAGTCAGAATGATGTCATCTACAAAATTAACTGCAAAGAGTGTGACAAACACTACATCGGGCAAACTGGAAGGAAACTGTCAACACGGATCAACGAACACAGAATGGCCATACGGAGACACGATCCACATTCACTGGTTTCCATGCATGAAGACCAAGAACGCCATCACTTCGACCTAGAGAAGGTTAAGGTCTTAGCCCATGGAAATTCGAGAAAAGCTAGAGAATTCTTGGAAGCATGGTATTCTTCGGACAATTCACTAAATCGACACGTTGAAATAGATGTTATTTATACAACGCTACGTATGAAAAATCACCGAATTAGTAGAATAAATCTAACGGAACGGAACGCCAAACTAGTGTATCAAACGACGACAACCGAAGAGTCACGCGCGCGTACACTACGAGGTGAGAATCAGAGATCGATTTCGATGATCATGTGCTTGTCGAACAATCCAAACTCAGACTAGCGACTGGGCGATCAATCACTCAGACTCCCGGATACTTCGTACACACCACTCTGCTAAGTAGACGCGCACTGATTATGTCACCTCAAATGGTGACGAAACGTTTGCAGCCAACGTGCCGAGCTCAGCGAACACTCATTCCACCAACTGAACAACCTGATTTACCAACGTTTGCTTCCATATCGCAAGATGCTGGTTCTCCTGGACGCTATACCAGAGGTTGTGTGACCTCAACTATTCTGCGTAAGGAACAGTTTGAAGCGAGAATTTCGAATTTCTTTACTCCTGTATATAATCTATGCAAATGTAAGGTCAATATTTTCTCGGATGTGGTAGAAACATCCATTTATTCATTTAAGGAATTGCAGGGTGAACAGTACTAGCTGCTGTGGCTTCAAACTCAGCAAATGACGATGCCAATTCGAATTAATTTCATGACTTTTGCTCTATCTGAATTGATGACATATACCACTGGCTTTGAAATAAGGCACTCGTGTCAGGCTGCTCTCATGCTTACTCCTTCTAATTAGCATCACGATCTTATATGCGATTATTGCGTGAACAATCCTTAGCATGTTCGCTGTTTCGTTGCAAATATTTCACTTGTTGTATCTGAATGTTTACTGAAAGCATTAGTACCGCCATAATGTCGTCATAATATTTACCTCTGTTGTGTGTTTTAGCACGTTCTCGCGTTGCTTCTTGCAGTCAAACTTTCAGCGGAAACGAAAGTGGTCAACTGCTCAGCCCAGGATATCCACAAGAGTATAAAGCCTCGGAATTCTGCAATTATGCTATCCAACTTCCGTCCAGCCGTCAAGTCAACTTAACATTCACCGAAGTAGCAGTGAGTACCTAAATTTATTTAGGACACATGAACCCACTGTTTAAAAAAAGGAACTGTGCGATATTTTTACTTCACTGTGAATATCCCTAATGAAATATGCAAACAACCTTCTTTTCTACGGAAATTTAACTTGTACGGTGAAGTATAAACATCCTTTTTATGTTCCAGCATGTAACGCATGTCATAAACTGCAGGTGTTTGCAGGAGGAAACATTTGAACATTGTGTGTTCCGAAGCAGGTAGTGACTAACTAGTGGATTTTATTTGCGTGTGCGTGTGATGCATTACACAAATCTCAGATCCACCATCAGTAAATAAAAGGTCAATAGGTAGAAGGCAGCT